TTTTTTTTAATTTCAGCTGAAAACAGAAAACAGGAAAAGCCCCAGAGTTTTGTTTGAGGGGTGATTTCTTTTTTTCTCTTTTCTTTCTTTCTTTTTTTTTTTTTTTTTGCACGTAGCTTAAAAGAAATTACCTTCTATTTCATTTGTCAGTTTTGACTTTCTCTGGCAGAAGAAAGTAAGGAGCAAGGACAGTGGGTAGAGAAGTTCAGGACCAGACCTCAAAAGGTGGGGTTATTTTTGCTGTAGCATGAAGAAATCATTGATCTCCAAATTACTTTAAGACTTCCAAGCTTGGGGATTCAGTCACTTTGCATTGCTATTGTATTTGGTATCATACAGCTAAAGCTGTCTTTTGGTGGGGGAAAATCTTAGTTTTTTAAAATGTGGCCAGCAGTCCTAAGTCTGGTTCATTGCAACTTTCTCAAAGAAAGGATGGAAAATACTAGAAGGGGTACCCCTTCCCCGCCCCTAAGCTAGGACGGAAACCTAACGCAGACACACTTCTTGATTATTAGAAAGTCGTGTGGCCGCTTAAATGGGAGTTGAAGTTAACCTCATAAAAATTGCTGCCGTGCTTTGCTTTTTCCTCATCTCTTCGCGGTTGGGCTGCGAGTCCCGGGGTGCAGCTCCCGTGGCCTTCCTGAGGCTCTGCTCTGACCCTGTGAACCCCAATGCAGTGCCGGGCTGGGCCTCTCATGGGCTTCCCGGAGACACCTGCGGGGCAGCCTGTGCGCGTGTGGGAGGGAGGGGTGCAGGAGGTGGCCACTGGCAGGCCTCTGTGTTCCGGGCTGTTCCGAGAGGTTCAGGCCTTGACAAGCTAAGCTTTGATTCTATTTTCTGCTGAACTAGCTCAGCCACTTCCTGTGCTGGGCTGCACATAGTGCCTGGCTTCACTGCTGGCTACTTGAGCCTGGAGCCAGCCAGCCAGCACGCACCGCCGCAACCAGTTAGACTATTTTCAGTCCCCTTACAATGGCCTTCTCATTTCCTTGGCGAAAATGAGCAAGCTGGTCTTGCATTGGCCACTTGTCAGCCGATGACAACTTTGACTTTGACTTGGGCTCCCCTCCCCCTCCCGAAATCCCTAGCTCAGCAAATATTTGAACCTGCCCAAGTTAATCATGAAGCTGCGATCTTTATCTGCGGGAGACGTGCAAGCGCACCGCGCTTTGCCTCCCCGGCACAGTAGGGCGATCCGCGTGGCTTTCCATTGGGGAACCGGCCGCGAGCGCAGCAGC